GGTATTTTTTTTTTGTTGGTAGGGAATAAGAGGCAATTGCCTCCCATGTTTAATTTAATAAAAAAAAAAGATTACACGGGAACTCGACATATGTATAGATATGGAGAAGATATTCAATCTAACATTTCAGGATAACAAAATCTATTATACCTGATCAAAAAGAAAATAATACATGAAAATATGCATATTAGCTCAGTTAATTATACGAATCTTTTTTTTTGATCAACCGATTTCATTAAACTTAAGGATTGTTCATTACAAGTTTTAGCTCTTGTTTGGCTAGGCAATCAGCTTTAACATTATCCCTCCCTAGGGATATAATTAAACCTAGCAAATTGAATGTTCGTGGAACAAATCAGAATGTCTGCAACTACTCCATGTATGGCCGAGATCTGGAGATCTTGATTGAGGGTGCGAATCAACAACTGTGAGTCTCAATTGAAGATGATCTTTGCACAGTTCAGACTCGCCGCTTGTAGAACTGCACTTCGCATCGCTAAGGCTTCTGCGACCAAGGCTGAATATACATTGGAGGAGAAACTTGAGTGGTCTGAGATGGTCTTCGCCGGAGAATTAAAGCACCATCCAAGGCTCGCCATCTCTGAAGTAGCATTCCATGCTGCATCGGAATAGCAATTGATAAATCCATCCGTATTGGACACTGGATTTTTGTTTTGGATTGTTGGAGTCGGACACTCGGAATTGGAGAATCCGCTTGAGCCAACAGCCATTCTCATGCATCCTGGTAAGCTTTAAAGATTGTTTCATTTAAAGTTTCTATTGCTAAACACTCTCTGATTCTTGGATATCCACAACACCCAACAGATCCACGGGGACAAAGTTTCTTTCTCAAATCCAATTGGAGGTAAGGAGAATAACTTATGAATTCTTGCAAGGCCAGTGAAAACACTTGTAATCTGAGCAGAATCAAACGTTTCGGAGCTAACGTTCAACCACACTTCCTGGGCATACGAACATAGGAATAACAAGTGGAGAACCGATTCAATTCCCTCGCATTTAGCATTTGTCCAAGCAACATAAATTATAACATTCACAACATAAATTATAACATTCACAAGTGGATGGTGTTTCTCACCATTAGTTGTAATTACACGAATCTATATTCACATTTTTTCCCCATCAATTATAACATTCCAAATCAATGAAATGCATACATTATATTCTTCCTTCCAAATACTTAACTTAAAATTCAAATCTAAAATAATAATAAATTCGGACGATTAAAAAATTCAAATCTAAAATAATTGATATCCAAGCAACATAAAAGAAGATAAAAGCCAAAAACATGTTTAATTTCAAAATTCAAAATTTACCTTTTTAGTTTGCTTCCAAAGAAAAACAAGACTTTAGTGAAAGTAAAAACATTTATGATGACATTCGGATTCTCGGCAACGACGCCGTTTTAAATACTATATAAATTAATTGTGTGTTTTTAATACTTCTTTGGTTCCTGTGAACAAAACCTACGAAAAATACTCAAATCTGTCATCTGTGTGTGCGTCATCTTTAACTTTTTATTACCAATAAACCCTTCTCAAGACCAGGTTTAAGGGTTTCTCTAGGGTTTTCCTTCTTCTCCACAATTGATTTCTCCAAAAATCTCAATCGCAAAATTCAATTCCATTTTCGCTTCCATTGATGCGAACTCAGCTTCCAATTCCACCGACCCAGATACAAATCAATCTCAGAAATGACCATGGAAGCTCGAGTCGGTGTAGTGGTGGAAGGTGGACAAAGGGCACTTAATTCGGCCACCGCCTCCGTCGTAGACGCCGGAAACAGGAAACTGTTACAGCAACCACCTCATACGCAGACTCAGACTCATCAACACCACCAAAGTAATAAACAGTCGTTGAATCAGCAGCAAGAGCATTCCGACGCCGTTTCTCATCTCGTCGCCGGCGGAATTGCCGGTGCATTCAGTAAAACATGCACCGCTCCTCTCGCTCGCCTCACCATCTTGTTTCAGGTTATCTATCTGTGTATTCCGGATCAAGTTTCTGTTTTCCTTTACAGGGTCAATGTCAAGTTTTTGAAATTTGTGACTTCAGTTTTGCTAAGTTTCGATTTTACTCGATTGCATTAGAGAAAGGTGGAAACTTTAACTTACCCTAAGGCCATTGAAGCGAGGGCTTTAAAAGGGTTTTTGGCAAGTTGATGAAGTTATGAGTTTTGACTTGTAGCTGAATTTGAACTTGGAAGAGTTTTATTATATACTCACAAACATGAATAATGCGTGAGGTGTGAGGAATCGCATGATTATTGATAAGTTTTCATCTCTTATCAGATACAAGGTATGCAGTCGGAAACTGCAATTTTGAGTAGTCCAAGCATTTGGCGTGAAGCTTCTCGTATTGTAAACGAGGAAGGTTTTAGAGCTTTCTGGAAAGGAAACTTGGTCACCGTAGCTCATCGGGTTCCATATTCTGCGGTAAACTTCTACGCATTCGCAGAATACAACAAGGTGAGTTGCATTCAAGTCTCTTTCTTTTTAGAGTGTGGTCTGTAGTAGTTCATGGTGATCTGTCACTCAGCCTCTCCTTGCTTTTTTTTGTTTTGTTTTGCAGTTTTTGCACTCAAATCCAGTCTTGCAAAGGTATAAAGGAAATGCGAGTTTGGATGTTTTAGTGCATTTTGTAAGTGGTGGCTTGGCTGGAATAACAGCTGCTTCAGCTACTTACCCTCTCGATCTTGTAAGGACACGGCTTTCTGCACAGGTAATTATGATGATGATGATGTTATAATGTTTTTAGACTTTCTTTAACCTTAAGCAGTGTCCTTGTTCTCCTGGCCTGAATACATTACATTTGATTCTTTCCAGAGAAATTCGATGTATTATCAGGGTGTTGGGCATGCTTTTCGTACCATTTGCAGAGAAGAAGGATTTTGGGGTCTTTATAAAGGACTTGGTGCTACATTGTTGGTACGCTTTATTTGCTTCCCCTTGTTCTCCTGAAAAAACTGTAAAAGATTGTAACCTCCTTCTTGGCAGTGTTAAAATATTCGGTAGCTCCCAGTGCAATTTTTCCTAGCTTGCTAGGGTAGATGGAGTCTCTTAGGTAGTCTAAGTGTCCGATTAGGCGGTCTAAGCGGCTGATGAGGTGCTTTATTGATGATGCATTTCAGGCTCAGGATCTAGTTGTGGAAGAAGTTGAAGTGGTTGTGAGACTGTAATACTTATAGAACATTTTAAGAAACAACCAAGAAGGATGATCTTTTTGAGGCTAAATAATTTTATGAATCTAACTTGTAAGTCTATGATGATGATATCGAGGTTGTTGAATTGATATGCATAACTGACATGTTACAAGTAAAAAACAACTGAAGAAGTAGGCGATCATGTCACATAAAGTAATAAAATTTGAAACTAATCA